CTTTGACGAGGAGATTATTTATTGAAATGAATATGAGTTATAAAAAATCAAATAGAATTTGAGTGAAATCAAATAGAATTTGATGAAAAAATCAAATGATTATTAATGGAAGATAGTAGAAAACAAAGATGAAGATATTATCTCGATTTATTTGTGACATAGGAAACTCCGACAATTGATCGAGTTTTCCAAGATACATTCATAAGTTTTAGACATCAAGAAACTCAACCAATTGGCCGATATGAGAAATTTTATGAATGAGACATCAATTAAGATGTCTAATTTAGCTATTTATTTTCTTTTAAGAAGAGAATTCTCCTCCAATGACTTCCCTTTTCCTTTAATTTTGCTATTATAAATTATTACAGAGGTTTTCTATATAACTTCTCTTTAGTTGCATGATTTTCTTTTAATTATTAGGTTAATTTAAGTCTGTTATGCCAGGGCAAAAAAGAAAGAATGTTTGATTGATTTTGTGACAAGAGTGAAACAACAATAGTTATCACCCGCGCACCATACTCACACAATAGTCGGAGAAGATGATGACAAACACAAACGCTCAGATGGAGGCAAGGAATATCTCCTCCAATAAGTAGAAAGTCAGAGTAAGGTTCTCAAGATAAAAATGATGCATCAAGAAGGGGTCCAAGAGCAATTTGAAAATATTCAAACTTGAAGATGAAGAGTTCTTGAATTACCTAAATCAGCATGTGATAATTCTCCTTTTGATTTTGTTGAAGTTATCCAAATCATGAGTTTATTGGTGAACTATTGATTCTAATTCTTGGTTATTGACTATTTGCTTAATTTTTTTTTGTGAACATTAAATAATGTATACCTCCTAACTTACAGTCGACATCTAACTAGTAAGAGAGTTTAAAAACTTGTCTACAAAAATACGATGAATCTATGTGATTTATTGGAGTTCATGATTTTAACATCAACAATGAGTAATATTTGATTATCGAAATGGTCAACATGCAATGCATTTGTGCACCAACTAATATATATATATCATTTGACATATACATATATCATATTTATTAATTACATATTATGTATTTATATTTTTTCATCCTTTTATTGTTTTATTAATACCAAACATAAAAAAATTAATCATTTCTACTTTCCTTCTTTAGATGATAGAAAATGTATCATTTATATTTTTCATCTTTTCTATTAAACCGAGCATAAGTATTTGCTGATTTTTGATTCTCTCGAGCTTTTTTAAGAGACGAGTCATTTGGCGAGTGTTGATTTCTTACATTCCTTCTTTTGATATTTTAGTAAGCTTTGTTTTTAGGCGTCTTTTTTCCCTTCAATGAGTGGCTTTTTCTCTGTTCTAGAATTATTAATTACATTTACATTAAAAAAGTAAAACATAATAAATTTTTGCCCAACCATATCATTCAAATACCAAATGCAAAACTTAAATAGAGTATCTAGCAAATGAGGTTCCAATCACTTGAAAATGGTTACTAGCAAGTTACTCAACAAAAGATGGAACAACATTGGCTTTCAGAGCATGACCTATGCATCAGACATTTTCGAGGAGAACTCTTTCACATCAGAAATCACGTGAATTTGCACTTCAACAACCAGATTCTCTCGTACTATGAAGCCCTTCGATTCATCATACAAATCATGAAGAGAAATTAGATCATAACCGCAGCAGTTGTTTTGGTCACACAACCAATAATTACCTGTGATAGAATAATTAAGAGGAAAATTTTAGAGGAAGTGAACAAACTAATTTTAAAAGGAAAATAGTGACAAACCAGTTTTCCAGTCTCTGTAAAAAGAACATATGTTAAAGATGGAGGGCAAGTGTTCACCTTTCTTTTCGCAGTGTTTGCCATTGACTTGGTCTTTTACCAAGAGGCTAAATTCCACATACAATTTTCGCTTGGTTGGAAGGGATTCGCAATTATCTAACCATAGAAAGACAGATAAGCTTTTTCCCTTTTTACTGCCACTTCCTTTGGGATAAACAAGTATCTTCCTAGACCAATAAAGAAAACAACATATAAGAAACAATTCCATCTGGTTATGGTACATAGAGAATAAGAATTAAGTGAGGAACTCAAAGGGCTTAAACCATTTGTGCTCTCCAATGGTGAAAGGTTCAGAGAACAAACGCTCCTCTTTTATTTCTGCAATTTTTTTGATCTCCCAAGAGTAACTATTGTCATAAGTTTCCTCCTTCAAAGAAAGACACTCTCCTCTGCCAGTAGGTTTAATGACATAAACCTCGACTCCAAACATACAGGAGTCATCAATGAGGTATCCTTTAGAAGCATCTTTGAAAGTGTCGAGGGAAAGTAATTTGGCGAAACCAAACTCAGTCTTAAACCTGTGGAAACGTCTTACTCTCCCATCAGCATCTACACACATGATGCACAGAAACAATTGAAGTCATACTCTCTCATATAGCTTAAACAGAGTTATAATTACTACAAGTGAAAGAATGAGCATTTAGAGAAATGTTACTTTGGATGGTCCGGTACTTGTCTAGGTTACGATCGTACACCAAAAAGTCGAATTTGACATTAACCTCCCAATTAAGAGGTAACGTATCTGTCGCTGATATTGCTAAGTAGAGAGAGATGTGATCTTTCCCATTTCGTTTCTCATCTCCATTAGGGTATAGACATAATTTCCTGCAAACAAGGCAAAGCACACTTATCTTGGATTTTAAAAAGCAAGAAGACTTCTCACAATTGAGAAGAAAGGATTTCTATTTTAACTCACCATTTGTAACCACATGATTCAAAGTCCCTCGATTCAAATCTTTTCTCTTCGGCCTTGGAAAGCAATGAGAACGATTTGATTTCAAATAGGTAATCACTTGGAGGAACGTCTCTTAGTGTCTTTGAAATTTCTGCAGAGACTCAAAAAAGTTCATACTTTACTACATATCACTGTTTTATATAAAATCTTGATTGCAGATAATATATTCTTAAAAAATTCTGAAAAATACAAAGAATGAGAAAAATAGAAAAAAAAAGTTTGAGATAAATTTATATCATAGGTTTCTCTTGTGTTTTGATGAATAATAAAAATTATGCCCAGATTTAAAACAAACCGTTCAGACTAACATTACATGAATAGTGTATCGATTTTGTACGTGATACGATACTTGTTCTAATACACGGTACAATAAGAATAGCCTTAATTGACACACTATTTTGAGTCGTGGTTCGTTTTGTAACATTTATATAGAATAATATATTGGTATACACATAATTAATAAATATTTATTTTAAAGAACACCAAAATAAAGAAATAACAAGTTAGTAAGAGTTATGATTTGGGGTTAGTTATATCATGAATCAATTTGCGGTTGTACTTATAATTTGGAGTCAGAACTTTGGATCTAGATCGCGTACCCATTTTATTTCGATTTGTGAGAACCTGGTTCATGGGACGCTAGGGGTATCTACGATCCCTGTATGTATAGTTCAGACATCTCTAATAAAATGCCTAGATTTCAACATCTAGATCTTTTGTTTCAAACGCATAAAAAACACATAAGCATCCAGAGGAAGACATAGTGATTACCAGCTGCACCATCATCGTCAGGGAAAGGATGGACAGACTTCTCGTCCATGACTTTCGTCGTATGTTTTTGAAGAACAAGTTGATGCGAGTGATTGGATTGCCTGCTTGGTTCCCTGCAGAGGAATATAGAGATGCTATATATATATATATATATATGCTACACGAGCAAAGCACCTATAAAATCAGAGGCGAATGAACTGAGAATCAAAGTCATAAATGAGATTTAATTAATGTGAAAGACTAATCTATAGAAGATAATCTATATATAAAGCCAGTTTCTATGAAAAATGAGATTGATATGTACCCAACAAAGTAATATAGTCATAAATTTACTCTGTCTCACTCAGCAAATTAAGTAAACCTGAGACGTCACCTGCAAATTTCAACCCTATTAAAATTCTTTTTTTAGGTATTAAAATTCTAGTCGATTTGAGCTCTATCTGTGTTGTTAGCGCCGATTAAAATTTTTATTTTTTTTATTTATTAAAATTCATACCAATTAAAATTAGATTCAAGTTGATTAAAATTTGTGTTTTATGTATTAATATTTGAGTTGATTAAAATTTATATTTTTTTATGTATCAAAATTCAGACTGATTAAAATTCTATGCGAATTAATTAAAATTTAATTTGAGCCGATTAAAGATAATTAATTTTTAATCGACACTAATTTTCATACGTAAAAAATAAAGTTTAATTAACTCGAATTAAATTTTAATATTTAAAAAATTTTAAAAAATAAATGGGGTTTTTTTCAAATATATTATAGACAATTTAGCAAAATTGTATTCTAATTAACAATTTTAATTTGATAGGAGTGTCAGTAAAAATTCAAAAAATAAAAAGAGTATCGTTGAAAATGTGAAAAATTAGAAAAAGGGTGACTAAAATTTTTTTCCAAAAAAAGGGCACACCGTGACATACACTGAACCTACCTTCTCTCTTTAATACTAAAGACACAAACACTTTATTCTCTCTCTAAACGCACAGTCTCCTCTTCTCTCCTTTTGTATACGATCGGTAACATATATGTATGTATATATCAAACAGACAGAGAAGTGAGGCGAAAATAAGAAAATTTAATCTCTGACCGAAGAGAGTACCTGATAGTCTGACACTTTTATGGTCAGTTTGGTACGAAAGGGTAGAAAGAAAGAAAAAATTGAAAGAATAAATTTTTTATCCACGAATAAAAGAAAGTTATTTTTTTTTTTGTTTGATAGAAGAGATAAAAATAAAAGAGATATTTTTTATCGATCAGTATTAGATGAAAAATAAAAGAAAAAAAACATATATGTCCAATTTTATTTCTGTCAACTCATCTCAAGCCCAATAAAATTTTTTACTCTTATCTGCCACGTGGCAGTGTAGCCAACCTAGACATAACCTTGTTATGTGTCTTGCTTCTAGAATGTTGGGCTCATTTGTTGCATATGAAATAAGGGGTAAAATGGTAAAAGCTATGTCATGCCCAAAAGTTGATTCAGTCTCTCTCCTTTTCCGCCCATATTTGGGGGAAGAGTTTTGGTGGGCGGAAGGGAAAGACATTCCTCCCCGGCTGCCGCTCCATCTTATTTTCCCTTCATACCAAACGGCAAAAACTTTTTCTATCCGTCCCATTTTTCTCTCTTCATTTCTCATCCACTATGTTTTCTTTTCTATCAAACAGACTATTAGTCGCCCAAAAATCACGAAGGTTCGCTTGATAAAGGAGTTCTTAGGTAAAGTGTCACACCCCCCGATTTTTTTTCTATTAAAAAAAAAAAAAAATTAATCAAACATGACTAAAGAATTAGACGACGCATAACTCATAATAACCTTCCCTCTGTTATTATTAACATATTCAACATACAATTACATAAAAGATAATACAATTTGCACTTGATCAGCTAAAAAATTCTTAAAACAGCATAAAAAGAAATAATAATATTAGTCTTTATCTATCATCATTTCAGCTTATCCTTTTATCTGACTTCATATTTCTGAAAAATGTTAAACAAGGATGAGTTCACCAGCCTAGTAGAATAACATATATCAATGATTATCAAGATTTTAAAACAATACATAATATAATTAAACAACAAGTAAATGCAGGAATATGTCAAAATAATGAATCAAATAAATAAATAAATAAAATGCAGCACATATCGATCATATCAATTCATAAATTTTTTGGTTCACGCATGAATTGCCTCAGGAGAAAATTTTGAGATTTTGCAACCGAAGGAACCCAATGCCTTTTTTGACAACACCAATATCAAAAATTCTGTGGCACCACACATACTACCAATGACAAACTGATATTATCAACTAGTGAACTCAAGGACTACTAGAAATTATGTGAATTCTCGCAAAAATCACGCGCCTACTAACCCCCAATCATCGATAACATGCATTCATAATAATTTCATCAAAATCATAAACTAGAGTTATATTGTATTTAGACCCAACAACACGTAAAAAATTAAATACTAAATAAATAATCAAAAAGAAAAAAATATATTTTATATGTCACTTGGTTTCACAAGATGATTAAAGTCTCGATATATGAAAAAAAATATAACATGTGCATGATCATAATTTATTTATAAAACTTAAGTTCAATCCCATGATTAAAGCGATAGAATATTATATCATATAATTAAAATAGATTTGATATGAAACACTCAAACATATATAAGATGCATCAATGATAGTAAAAGATAAAAAAAATCCTATATCAAACGTAACCTTTACTCGATACCGTGTACTGTGACAAAACAACCAAAATAATATTTTAGAATAAAAATAAATAAAAAAAACTTAGTCAAATTAAAATAATTTTTGGAATAATTAACAAAAAATAATGATACTTAAATTTAATCCAAAAATATTTAACGATGATCAAATTTAACTGATTGAACATATAAAATTACTAAATAATAACTCAAAAAATCTTACCCAAAACTTTAATCATATAAACGAACTCTTTAAGTCAATAAAGTTTTGACCTTTTTCTTTTCCTCCCCTCTCTCTTTTTCTTTTCTTTAATGTGTTGTTTGAAGGGTCGAAGACAAGTTATTTATAGCCAAAACCTTGGGTCCTAACATCACTCATGATATCGTTCAATTACGTCATATGACAACGTCAGCCAAGATATTTTTGTAGCCCATGTTATAAAACACTTGTCCTCTAAGTGTAACACACACATATTTATGTTCATAGATATATTCATCCACGACAATTTTACAAAATTTAACTTAAATTATAATTATTTAACTCGTTTTCACGTAAAAGATTTATATTTGAGGTTCATACGTTTATTTTAATTAATTAATTAATTAATCTATCATTTTAATTTAATTAATTAACTTCTCTGTTCTGGAATCATAATCGATAACTTAATTAATGTGTTAGTAATTAATTATTATTATTATTACTTTTTTTTATACGGGTAGTCACATGGAGTTGCCGGAATTTGGATATCACGCGCATCGCTGGAGCATGCAGACGGTTAGAGATGGGAAAAAAGTGCCGAGAAGAGTGAGAATATGCGTGAGGGAGAAGCAAAAATAGTGGGGCAGTGATAAAAGAGGCACCGGACTCCAAATGTTTATTCACTGCAGTTAATTTTGAAAAAAAAAGGGCTTAAAAAGAGAGAATTATACTTTAGCTCTAAATTTGTTATTTAATTACTTAAATTCATAATATTTAAAATATTGTTTACCAACCCTCTAAAATTTGTATACACATAATACTTAGACCCCTGTCATCAATGTCCGTTAAAATATTCATTAGTAAATTATATTTACAGTCTCTGAAAATTGTATGCGTATAATATTTAAACTCTTCAAGTTTAAAATGTTATATCATTTATTGATATAAAATAAAAAATAAAAAATAAAAAATATTTTTTTAAAAAAATCATAATTAATATACAAATATATTTTCTATTAAAATAAAACTAAAAAAATAAACAATTATTCAAACAATAATGGACATAATATCTTCTATTTTTAATTAGGATAGTTTGATCGTTTAATAGATAATATAATTATATATTAGTTATGATTTTTTAAATAAAAAATTAGATTTTTAATTTAAATTTTATTTTAATAAAAAATATAATAGAACATGAATTTTGGTTATAAAATTTAAAATATTTGATTTCTATCTTTGATTGGATTATTTTTAATCTAAGTATAACATTTTAAATTTGAGTAGTCTAAATATTATAAGTTTATAAACTTTCGGAGGTCTGAGTATAATTTATTGACGGATATTCTAATAGACAATGCCGGTAGAAGTTTAAGTGTTACGCGTGTACAAACTATATAATATTTCAAATATTAGGAATCTAAGTGATTAAGTGACAAATTTCAGAAAGTCTGAGTGTGATTCTCTCTTAAAAAAATCAAGGAAAACTCATTTTTTTTATTCAAATTAAGGGAGACTCAAATCTTTACTCAAATTTTTAATTGTGAGATTTCACCATCTTTTAAAGATTCAATGGTCACCCTTACTTTCTTTTAAATTTGGGTTTCTCCTCATTTAAATTTGGATATCTCATTTTTTAAATTTGAGTTTGTCTATTGGAGTCATTTATATCAAATCAAACTTTTTACTCAAATATCAATATAAATTTAAATAAAAATTTGAATCATGGTTAAAAATGTTCTAACAAATGTATATTTGAGTTCATAACATAATGGGTGTCAAGCAGTTGCTTGTTATGTTTAGCCGGTCTATATCCACTTATTTATTTAGACATATGCAACAAGTTTATCTACTGATCAACTTTTTAACGTTTTATCAACCACCGAGACTAAATTTAGAGTCTATTCATATTGGTTTTGTGTTAAGTTTGCATATCTGATTTAATTAATATTGCTATTACTAGATTTCAACACTTGAGTGTTTTTTATTGTTTTTATGTTATGGTGCTCTTTGGGGGATAAGTTGTAGTGTGCAAATTTGTATGTATGTTGGGATTGGATACAGCTCTCCAACTCTGGCCTCAGTCATAACAGATCTCACCCCAGCGTCTACCTTCTTACTTGCAATTATCACAAGGTATGCACGAATCCTCCTTTCAAGTTAATACTCTCTCCCACTGGACCAATGGTACCTTCATGATCGTTGATTCTGCTGTCGAGCAAAGGTTAAGATGTAAATCTATATATGTCTTTAGTTTAAATCTATTTGATTACATAGAATTTCTGTTTAATTAATACACGTTATTTATGAATGGTTACCTTGCAAATGAAACTCCTTTATAAAAATAAATAAAAAACCAAAACTGAGTACACTTGAGGTTGGGCATATGTGGTTACCATTAAAAGGGTTCACTTATAGCTGCCCTTAAAAAAAAAAAAAAAAAAAAACCCCTATGGCTGCTCATAAAATGACACTTCTAGGTTTTAGCCTACTCTATCCGGTATAACTATTTGTCCCATGCATGATCAAATTAGTTATTAATATAATTTATTAACTCAATTATACTCATTATTAATATAATAATACAATGAATTTGATTAATAAATTATTTCGGTCACGAGAAAAAAGTTGGAGGGGCAACCGCACAAAATTATTTTCCTCCTTTGTTCAATCAATCATTTTCCTCCTTTGTTCAATCAATCGTTTTCCTCAGTAAGATATCCTGAAAGATTTTCGTGGCGTGACTAGGCCACGAGGCCTGTGGTTGTTGCAATGTCTAAGCCACTTGCCGTGTTCATTGCAGCTGTCATGGGAATTACTTTTCTTGGGGATGCTCTCTACATTGGAAGGTGAGCTAGTCTCTAACTCTGGGATTTGATTACAATACCGACCAAAGATAGTCGGTACCAAAAATACCGATCAAAGATAGTCGGTATTATCTTAAAAAGTGTTTTTTACAATTTTTGTGTTACTTTATAACTAAAAAATTTATAAATTTTGTGAGTGATTTATAATTTTTGTGGGTATTTTTATTATTATTATTATTATTATATATATTTTTACCATATTTGTGAGAAATATTTTTACCATTTTTCTTTTATACAAAAAAAATTATCACTTCTGTGATTGTTTTATCACGTTTGTGAATGTTTTTATCATTGGTACCTATTTTTTTAACAAATTCTTGATAAAAGAAAACACAAATGTAGTAAATGAAAATATGGTACAACAAAAAAAAAAAAAATTTCGATAACTTAAGTCAAGTCTTACGCTAAGTTTCTTTTGGTCTGACACTGTTATAAGCGATAAGGATGATCGATCTCATCGACATCGAAAACAGTGGCATTAGGCAAACCGTTAACTTCAAAATCTTCGTCTATTTCCTACATTTTTCAATGTTGTGTCAGTAGTCCGGGTCAGGGGACCACCTGACATGGCCAAAAATAGGGCCTGTGGCCCCAACATGTTGGGCTATCAACCAGTCCACAGGCCTGCCCATGACCGGTTGTCGTCAAGCTAATAGCCCCACTAATGGATCATGGACTACTTGCCAACATATTTTAAGGATTCATTTGATAAACGTATTATGATGGGAGTAAATATTAGATTGTATTATTTTTATTAAATAGGCCATAATATTTTGTTTGGTAAATAAATTTGATATTGTATTAATTTTAAAAACGTATACTTATCGTATATTTTTTATATGATAGACCTGTATTATGAAAAAAATATAAAAACCACAAAAAAATGTGGTATTATAATCCAACTTAAATGTATTATTTTATACATTTACTATTGTAACCCCGAACTGATAAAAGTAAGCTATCATCAATGTTACAAACACTGATAGAGAATATTTTTGTTAATTCAACATTAATACGATGAAATAATTTCCTAATCAAACAACTTATTTAATTAAATAACTACTATCCAACGTTTATATTGTGCATTATCAAACATTAGATAAAATTACGTATTATTCTAATACGTTATTTAATCTTGTCTTTTGTCCATCTGTATTGTATTAGACTAAATTGTTATATTTAATCCATCAATTTCTAATACGACAACCAAATGAGCTTTAAAAGAATTGAAAAATGTTATTTATACCTAAATTACTGACTTAATTAATCATAGTCGTTAAATTGATAGTAGATTCCAACAAATATTAGGACTTACAATTTAATCAATGACAATAATTAATTAAATAAATATTTTAGATCCAAATAACATTGCTCAATAAGATTATGTGCTTGAAAGTAAACTAAAATCGATTTCAAACTCAATGACAACTATGTTTTTTTTGCAGTGTGATTGGAGCAGCTATAATAGCTGTTGGGTTCTACGCTGTGATGTGGGGAAAAGCTAAAGAAGAGAAAGATGTCAAAGGCCAGGTGATGTGACTTTTTTGAGATACTCCATGATGAAGACACGTGTTCTCGGGATTACCAAAACACTGTTGCTAAGATCAAGCACCATCGGCGCATAAAAGTCCTCGCCCCCGAGGTACTCGTCATATTGGATCATGGCATTCAGTACGTTTTACATCCAACACATGGCCTCGGTCTGATATGGTTCCTCGGTCGGTGTCCCTACCTCGGTGTCGAGATGATCCTTCCCTCGGTGCCGAGGAGTACCCGTCCAGGACGCCTCCTCTACTCCAGGATAAGCTATTGAAGTACAGGTCATTAGCCTAGGCTAGTCTAGACTATTTATCATGACCTCGTCTTACACAACTAGTGTCAGAACGTACTGGAATGCAGAGGTCACAGCCAATAAGGGATGGACACGTGGCGTATGATATCACATCGAAGACAGAGAAACCGCATGCTGCTGCTGACACGCGACTTGGGAAAGCAAACAAGTAATTGCACCATTCCCTTGATGAGACCGCATTCAATGCGGTAAGGTTCGGAAATGAAAGGCAATAAATGCTCCTAATACAGAGCATTTATTGCATCCTCCCCGAGAGGAGCACATTGTACCGTCGGCATCCCGATGACCCAGCATTGATTACTCGGGACCCCGAGCAGTTAAGAAGAGAAGACATTCCTCATCAGAATCAGTGCGCACGCTGCCTGTACCTAATGATCACCTACTGACTACACTGACAGCAATCATGAGCTTTTGAGGTATAAATACTCCTTGCAAAAGGCAAGACGGGTATGCAAATAACAAACTCTTTACTACAATACACACTCAGTGTTTTCTCCTTCCTCTCTCTCACTCAAAGACTGACTAGATCGTCGGAGGGGATACGCCGAAAAATACTCCGGCGCCCTTCTAACTGGTTCTTCTTTATTCCAGGAACCTCTTTCAGCCTCACCGGATCGTTCTTCTGCTCCCCCAGGGTCTCCCGTTGCCGTTCCAGGTTACCACCGGACCTCGCAGGCTGTTCCAAGCAGCGTGGTTGGTCACTCAACTGGCTCACTCGAAGTTCACCAAGGGAGAGATCTGTTCTCATTTTTTATATTGTACAGGATCTTGCACGTACAATCTGGCGCCGTCTGTGGGAAACGACTAGTTTTCCTAGTTTTTTCTCTATAAAGAGCAGTGACCATGGTGAACACTCGACAGAAAGGGAAAGGACCCCACCAAAGGAGTCTCGAGTTACAAGCTCCCTGTTATCACGGAGGGAGGGATCACACCAATACGAATAAAAGTGCCTCCACTCGATCAAGAGGGGTTACCCCTCAAACCAGTATGGGGATCAGGTCAGGGGGATCAGCCCCCTTGGCTCGTCAGCTGGCGGAGGTGATTGAAGAAAAATTGGCGATAGATTACGTCAGCTGAAAAAGGACAATGTAAACGTCCTGAGCCGGCTCGACGAGTTTGCCGCCTCTGGCGGAGGGTCGAGGGATTCGTTCCTTTCTCGTGGACTTCCCACCCGGGAGGCGAAAACGAAGGACCTAAGAAACCACCTAAACAACAAAGCAGAAAGCTCTAGGGTCCCAAAGCGGCCTAGAGCCGGCGAGCATCACCATGACAACAATTCAAGGAAAGCAAGGCCATTGGCCCTGGACGACCTTCGGCGAGGTTTGTCTAGATGGAGGAAGGGAGATGAATCTGAGGAGGACTCAACCCAATCCACACGACGCCCAGGAAATGAGGGGCTTACCGATGAACTCAAGGACTTTAGGAGGCATCCCGTCAGGGAAGAAGTTGATCTCAGAACCCGATTAGACTCCAGGAGAAAGGGTAAGGCTGTCCAGGATGAGACCGAGGACGAAGCCATACAAACACCCTTTACGAGGGAGATCAGTGAGATGGAGGTCTCAAGAAAGTTTGTCGTGCCGCGGTTCAAAACCTATGACGGGCGTTCCGATCCCGAAGCCCATATCAGGCAATACAAGCAGATGATGTCCCTCTATCATTCGGACCAACGATTTCTCTGCCGAGTGTTTCCTATGAGCTTGGGGGACTCTGCGATGAAATGGTTTGAGGCGCTTCTCCCAAACAGTATTGGGTCCTGGAAGAAATTGACTAGGCAGTTCCTGGCTCGATTCATTACGGGGAGTAAGCGCCCCAAAGACATTGGATCATTGCTGACCCTCAGACGGAGGGAATCCGAGACTCTTCGCCAGTACGCCATCCGATACTTGGAAGAGGTTAATGAGATAGAAGGCTGCTCAGAGGTCATGGCAGCAGCATCTTTCCGGCTCGGCCTGGCAAGGGAGACGGACCTGTACCGATCCCTGACCAAGAAGACTCCCTCGAATATGGAGGAACTAATGATCCGAATAAACAAGTACTTGAGGGTTGAGGACGAGATGGGAAGCAGCAAAGGCCGAGTCCTCCAATCTAAGAGAAAAGAGAAGGAGCGAGAAGATATTCCCCGAAAGGGATTGCTGCCCCATCCAGGGGGTTCGTCCAGAGGAGTTCACACTATTTTCAAGGAACCCATCTTCAAGTTGCTCCATAAAATCAAGCACGAGCCGTTCTTCAAATGGCCGCCCAGGATGCAGGGCGACCCCTCCACCCGTGATCAAAAGGTTAGGTGTTCCTATCACCGGGATTTCAGGCATCGCACCGAAAGCTGCAGGGTGTTCAAATCGTTCTTGGAAAGCTTGGTCCGAGACGGACATTTGAAAGAATACATAGAGCCCAAGCCAGAAGAGAAACGAGCCCTTGCCCCGACCGAGGAGCCAGACAACATCATAGATGTCATCCACATATGTCCCCTGGAGCGCCCCACGTCCAAGGAGCTCAAGTCCGACCTCAAGAGGGTAGCTTTTACAAGGAAGGTAGCTGAGGGTGATGTGGGGCCATCAAGTAAAAGGGCCAGGATGGGTGAGCTTGACATTATATTCTCCGACGCGGATTTGGCAGGCGTGGTGACTCCTCATAACGACGCCCTTGTCTTGACCCTAAGGATAGGGAAATTCAATGTCAAGAATTTTGATAGACTCTGGAAGCTCCTCGGAGGTGATGTACTTCGAAACTTTGAAACGGATGGGTCTTGGCCCAAAGACCTCACCAAAGTCAGGACACCCCTCATCGGGTTCAACGGCTCATTCGCTTTGCCCGTGGGAAAAATCACATTGCCAGTTGCCACTGGTCCCTTTATCATCGACACCGAGTTTGTTGTGATCGATACGGACTCTCCCTACAACGTGATTGTGGGGCGAACATGGCTGCATGCGTTGGGAGCGGTGCACTCCACTTTCCACCAGAAGTTGAAATTCGCCACGCCAGAGGGTATCATGGAGATCCGGGGGGACCAAGCGTCCGCGAAGAATTGTTTTTATTCAGCTGTTCGAGCCGGGGCGTCCAGCCAGGAGAAGGGGCGAGCACCGGAAGAGATTATGGAAAAATAGCAATTATAGTCCGGGCGTCCAGGAATGGATGACCCCCGGATAGACCCAACTGAGCGGTCGGTAGAAGACCTCCGGAAGGTGCCCTTGGTAGAGGGAGAAGAAGAGAGGTATTTCTTAGTTGGGACCTCGATGCCCACAGCCGAACAGGAGGAGATGATCGAGTTTCTAAGGGGAAATACAGACGTGTTCGCCTGGAACGAAATGGAAATGATGGGGGTAGACCCCGAGATAATCACACACAGGCTGCACGTTGACCCGTCGCACAAGCCAGTCAAACAGAGGCCACGACGCATGGCCCTGCATCACACCAACGCGGTCAACGAGGAAATCGACAAACTCCTGAAGGCCGATGTCATTCGAGAGATACAGTTCCCAGAATGGCTGTCCAATACGGTATGCGCAAAGAAGAAAGGGGGGAAATGGCGTGTCTGCGTAGACTTTACAGATCTGAACAAGGCATGTCCCAAGGATGACTACCCCCTGCCAAAGGTGGACCAGCTGGTAGATGCCACAGCCGGATATGAAAGAATGGACTTCCTGGATGCCCGAGCAGGATATCATCAGATCCCTCTTTATCCCCGGACCAGGAAAAGACGACATTTATCACTCCGAAGGGAGTTTATTGTTACAAAGTGATGCCGTTTGGACTGAAGAACGCCGGGGCAACATACCAAAGGCTGATGAATCGGATGTTCAGAAAGCAGATCGGCAACACCATGGAGGTTTACATAGACGATATGCTGGTGAAGAGCAAACGGAGTTGTGATCATCTGACAGATTTGGCGGATACCTTCTCCACCCTCAGGGAGTATGGGCTGAAGCTGAATGCGGCGAAGTGCATTTTCGGAGTGGAGTCAGGTAAATTCCTCGGATATATGGTTAGTCAACGAGGAATCGAAGCCAACCCGGATCAGATTAAAGCAATCCTGGACATCCGGAGCCCCCGCACTGTCCGAGAAGTCCAGAAACTCACAGGGATGCTGGCTGCACTTAACCGTTTCATCTCACGCTCCTCGGATAAATGCAAACCCTTTTTGGAGCAATCAAGAGTGCTGGGAAGAATATGTGGAGCCAGGGGTGCGAGGACGCCCTGGCTAGAATCAAAGAATACCTAAAGACTCTTCCAACCCTGTCCGTCCCCATCCAGGGGGAGATGATGTTCCTGTACCTGGCAGTATCTGAGTTCGCGGTAAGCGGGGTACTTATCCATGAGCATGAGCACCGCCAGAAGCCGATTTACTATATAAGCAAGGCGCTCCTGGATGCAGAGACGAGATATCTACCCCTAGAGAAACTGGCCCTATCCCTGGTCACCACTACAAGGAAACTGCGACATTATTTTCAGGCGCACCCAATCACTGTCCTGACCGATCAGCCCTTGAAAGCAATCTTGAGGAAAGCAGAACTCTCCGGAAGGATTTCCAAGTGGGCAGTGGAGTTGGGGGAGCACGACATTCATTTCAAACCCCGAACTGCGATAAAAGGTCAGATATTGGCAGACTTCATAGCTGAGTTTTCGGGGGAGCATCCCGTTCTAGAGGGACTGCCTCCTCCCGACTTAGCGTCTCCAACGAATTATGAAGGAT